GAAGAGGTTCAATGTTTTCACTAAACCACTGAACTTTGAATCATGCCTACGTGTTTTCCTGGAAAATATCTCAGAGTACTTTAGCTTCTTTACTATTTATGTTACTGTCACCAGGGGTATGCCATCACCTTTGATTTAACTGAGTACGGAGAAGGGAAAGTTAGAACTTTATTACTGATCTGACACCTTGTTCTCAGGTAAATTTTATTAGTTAGAACCTTTGACTTTGCCAGAGGAAGCAGCACCTGGGTGTATTACTGGCTCTCCAGGTTCGCAGCATTGGGACAGTAGACAGTAGTTATGATCAGAAAGCAATCAGAAGGATCTAAAATTAATATTAATCATAGGTGATGTTACCTAACAATATAACTCCTCTACTAAGTTCTATCTCTTGCTGATGGATTTTGGCTTATTATGTTATTAACACCTTGTTGATTAAAACTGTGTGTGCAAGAGCTGGCTGGACACAGAGTAATTTATTTCTCTCTCCTTTGAAACGTTTTTCTTCGTTATGCCTCCAAGCTTCAAAACCCAGATCTGAATAGTTCTTTCTGGATTGAAAGTCTAAGTCTCCTTCCATATTAATTTATAAATCACAGTCATACCTATGAATGTAATTATTCATTCTTACCAGTGCATAGTCCTCCTGTGACAGGAGTCTGAGACATAGGCTCCCACACAATGGAGAAATCTGTTGTTGCTCCCGATTTAAATATAACTGAACAGACAAAAGATCATGATGCCAACTATCTCTCTTTTGATTCTGTGTGACAAAGCTGCAGTGCTCGATCTTCCTCAAGGAGCAGGTGACACCTCAACAAAGAAACTGTTTCTCATGGAACATTGCACATGTGCTTCACATTTGGAACAACCATAGGAAACACAGTAACTAGATGAGGTGCAAAGTAATGATAGGAGTGTGTTTAAAAAAAAATCCTGTGCTATCAGCTGCAAACCAGGAGGCACAGTACAATATGAACAACAGGTCATAGTTTGGTTTCTTTGCTACAGAGGACCCCCCAAATTGACAGAGAGAACATAAAGACTTATTGGTTATTTTGCTTGCAATCCTTTATACTCAGAGGATGCTTCATTGCAGCTCAGGCAATGACCAGCCTCTTCCAGTTTTAAGATGTCTGGGTCAGCTGCACAAAGGATGTTTACGTTATGTTTCTACCTTGCAGTCTTAATGCTTCCAGTGAAGCCGTAATATTGTATTATAGCACTATTCCCTTTAGCATAAAGCAGTTCATTTTGCTTTATGTCCATTTAATGTATTTTTAGAAAATGCAGACAGGTTTACAGAAGGCTGGACCATTGTGCCCTAAATTTCCTTACATCATTAGACAAAGATGCAGGAGTGTTTTAAAAACGAGGAAACCACAAAGAGAATGGTAAGAGGCAAAAAGCATGGGAGGAGCTCATTACAAAGCCATAATGCATTTATAGTGTTTTCACTAAGACCACATTTTCCGGGCTGTTTTATGAGGGGCAAAAAGGAAGCAGAGGAGAGAAAAATACCCAAAATAATCCACAGAGGACTCATGAAGAGGCAAAGATGGGAGACCTAAAATGAAATGGCTCACAGGAGACTCCAAAGAAGTGGTTACAAAACTGGAGAAAGTTAACTCACCCAATTCATGTTGCTGCTGACAGTGAAAAGTTAATGGCTCTGTGTTTTATATGAAAGCTTCACAGTAACAAAAGCATGGACCTTCAGGCTTAGGTACAGGAAGAGTGTTGAAAGTTTTAATTGGAAGCTTTTGTTATGAGAAACAAAAGTTACAGTATCATTTATATGCAATGAAAAGGAAATATGTTTTTCTTTTATATATATATATGTGATTTCATTTCCACAGTGAATGTATATTTCCTTCTACAGTGTCCTGTGATCCGATTCACTTTACTTGCTGCCAGTTCTCAGTGTTAGCCTTCCTAACTGTCTTTCATCCCCTGTTAATCTGGCTGTTTTGTAGTTATAATAAACGGAAACTCACAGACCTTGGTGTCATCCGCCTCAGATAACATGATCCTATTAAATCTAATCCAAATTAACTGGATGAGAACCCTTTGCCCTTGATACTTACATGGACAAGAGTGAGATTTGACACTAACAATACCGGTGGTTTAGTCTAAAGAGGAAATCTCCTCTCCTTATGTAATTGATTTGGGATTCAGCTGAGCTCTTTATGCACTGTAAAAGAGTGTGTTTGTTTCAGCCATGCACTCTCAGTCTACTGATCATGATCTTTGATCCTTTTTCATTAAACTTTTCAAAACCTTCCTCAGGTACAAACCTGAGGCTAACATCGCTATTTATTCTCATAATGTTATTCTCATCACACTATATTTTAATACAAGATTAGTGACTCTTGTAAAATGTATGGGGAGAATTGTTTGTTTTTCCTTTAACAAAGATCTTTCCTGATGAACCTGAATAGGAGGAACCTTTACATGTGAAATTATGTCTACCATTTATGACTGAAATACTTGAAAATCCAGGCTGTTTCCCAAAAGTTCCTGGAAGTTTCCCATGTGAAAAAAATAAATCAGAATATTCTAAGCACAGAACAGAAAATGCATGAAATACAGTTTGGCATCCATGTGGATTTCTACAATAATAAAAAAATTCTTCATCACTCAAAACAGGACAGCTTCTTTCCTCGTGTAAAGATTATCCACTGGCTCTTCAGGATCAAAAGGCATTTTACTAAGTGCTCATCAGCCCTGATATAGATTTATCAATGTTAAAGTACAAAACCTGAAACTCTAGTTGGCTTTTATCAATTGTCCCAATAATGTGTGACAACCTGACCCTATGGAAACAATACAACTGAAAAACAAGGTGGGGAAAAAAACAACCACCAAGAACTTTAAAACCAGAGAGACTTTCCTACTTTCTGTTATGCATTAGTATTGTATTGGAATTAATACTTACTGATCATTATATCTTACATTTACTCAACTCTTTATGCATTTTTCATTTCTTCTTGTCAGCATTAAAACAACTTCTGATAAAATAAAATCAGATGGAAGGGAATTGAAATCCAGGACTGGCTCCAGAAAAAATCCTTGCTATGTGGTTTTTTTCTGAGGTGGGGAAGAGAAAAAAGAAAAGACTTTTGTGATTAGAGTCAATCTGCTTCAGAGAGCAGTCTGGTGGGCATGATATTTGGAATGCTCCTAGAGAAGTGCTTGATAAAATTTAACTGATCTTCCTTTCTCCTTGTGGAAACATTGAGTGTCAACCAAGGTCAGTAAATCGAGTGTTTCCACCTGCGTACTAAACAATCTGCTTCAGAGGCTTTACAGGTAGAAAGGATTCAGTTGTTGCTATCTGAAAAGACAATTTCCGAACTCCATCACCTCTAGGCTGACAGGTGTTTCTGTCCCATGTGTCTGGCAGCCAAACAGGAGAAGCTGTTTCTGCAGAGCATCTCCAGAGAGAGGGCTTTCCATGATGTGCCAATCCTCTGCTTCTTTGCAGGCCTCAAACCCCCAACATGCTTTCATGGCACCCCATTCCCTCCAAAACTAGCCCTACAGCTGAAAAACCTCTGCATGGACATAGATTTGCCTGTAAAAAAAAGTTGGCATAAAAGAGAAAGCAACACCAGATTTGGTTTGAACAGCTTTCTGACACTTTTGCTGTAAAGGACCTGCAAAGCTGCAAGCTTTGCATGCTGCATTTGACAAGGATTAATGACCAAAGCCATAAGGCCTATTGATCTAGCATCTTCCTCTATTAGTCCAGCTAGCACCTCCTTTCAAACACACCAAGGACACACTGCTGCACCTTGAGCAAGAAGAGAGTGGAAAGTAGGAGCATTAGGTGGGAAGGAGGATTTGTTTGCATGCCTGTCTACATTGAGGACCAGCCTTAGGAAACGTTCTAATTTTGCAAAAGAGGGTTGGCATCAGGGCATTGGGGGCTGGGGGGAAGTAACTATAAAAACTATGATTCTGAATGACAGGGGAAGAAGAAACCATGTCAAGTCTATTCAGCCCAGACCTCTACTCAGAAGAATAAAGCAAATCAGGTTCCCCACGCTCCACCATGGGTCACAACAAAGTACAAATATTTGAATGTAAAAGAAAACAGTTTTGCTGGTTTAGTCCTGCAAGTCATGCTACGTAACAGCACCAAGTACAGCTGCTATTCTTGATATAACTTGTCTTCATTTAGTTAGGAAAAAAAAAGTGCCTATGGAGGAGACTTTCCGGCTCTGAAGATTGCAAGAAAAATGAGTCCCTTTCTGAGACTTATAGTTAACCAAATTGTAATGAGCAGAGATGATGGACAGCTGCTTATTCAGGAATTTCAGCTTCTTAAAGCAACAGAAATATTTGCAAAATGCAAGCAGGATATAGCAGCCTGTAAAAAGCACATAAAAGACACACCAGGTTAAAACAAGCAAACAAGAAAATGAGTGGGTTTCAGAACATCCTGCATTTATTTGGCCCCACAATTCCTAACATTGTAACAAACTCCCAGAGTTTCACTCCTTAAAGTGCTTCAAACTCCATTTATATTATTATTATTATTACTTTAAACATTAATGTACATTTCTGTATAAATGACAATCCAAAAAAAGAGATTTATCTTTTTATAAAATTATATTAATGGATCAAATTTGCTCTCAAGATGACCAACATTAAGGCAAATTTCCAAAATTAAGACACTAGAGCTGCTCAAGTCTAAGCTGTTGTGGGTGAGAGCAGAATTTGGCCCAGTAGGGTATATACAATTATATTTTCTGCACATATTTCAAAAGGCACAACAGATTATCTTGGAAATCAATAACATTTAAAAGGGAGTTTATCAAAGCAAATACTTCTCACTCGCTTTGGCACAGTCCACATCCAGAGGACGCATTTGCTCACTGGCTGTTGAGAATAACCAGCCTGATGGCAGTGACATGGTGATCAGCAAAAGGGGAGTTCACACAGTACTTCAGCAGATCCAACCTGATGGGTGCACGATGACTGGAACAGCAGAATTACTTCACTGAACACCCATGCAAATTCACCATACCATGAATCTCTGAAATCCTCCTGGTGGAGACATGCTTGTCATTGATGTTAATATCTCGAAGGCATCCAGAAAATGGATCTGTAACTGGAATCCACGGGGTGTGCAAATTTGCTACAAAAAGATGAGGTAGAAAGACCAAGTTAATGAGAATTATTTGAAAGAACATAAATTGTTGCAAGGCTTTCAAAAGAGGGGGAATGATATAGGACCTCATGCATGAATGGAACCTTTGTTTCGGAAAGGAAACAAAGCCAGTAGACAGATGAAAAAATAAGAAGCAATAATACTACCTGGAATTTTGCCAAAGTGGAGTGGCAGATGCACACGTCTAGGAGGAGAGGGTCGAAGTCCAGTGGTATAGTTTCTCTCTGTGCCCACCTCTAGCTGCACAGTGTTGTCCTTCTGAGAGACTGCAAAGAAGCAGGGAAATGAGAACTCTTTCACAAGCCCATTAAAGGATCAGCTAGATATGGCACTGTTTTTAAATAGCATCTGTCTTGAAATATAACTCATAGCAAAAAGAGATTATATTTTCATTCAAAGTCAGACTGACACACCTAGGTAGTCTGGGGCTTAACACAGCCCCGCGAAAATCTTATGTAAAGCCTTGAATTAATGTGAGACACTTCCATGGTTCTAAAGAGTGTTCTCAGAATAAACAGAAGTGAAATGATTAGTAACTGTCAGAAGCTACAGTGCTCTGTGCCCACCATCCCTCTGAAGATCTGCTATGTACAACATACCTGCAATGGTATGCCACTGTCCATCAGACAGAGGTTTCTTGGGTGTGACTGATGTCTGGAATTCTCCAGCACCACTATTTCCAGCAGCAATGACCTGTAAAAAAGTTATGTTTTAAGATACTGTGATAAAGAAAAGTGCAGCAGAAAAAGGGCAGAGAAAGGCCCCCGCTGAATGAGGGTAATACATGCAACAGATGCACAGTCTGTACTTACCTTTCCTCCTTCCATGTAAATAGTCAAGTAGTTGTCTCGCTTGCTTCCAGCATGGAGGAGTACACCTGTTGAATGCCTTGGTTGAATGGTAAATACAATCCTAAAATCCAAGCCCATCAGCAAATTACCTGTGGAGAATTAAACAGCAAGTAGAGGAATGGTCATAGCAGGAGATTGATTGGAAACCCACATAGAAATAAATAAAATAATGCATACATGTACACACTGCAGACATAATTCAATATACCATAATCTCTACACATCTTACCAGCGGTGATATATCCTCCTTCATTGAAGAAATGCATCCCTGTGTCCCTGGGAACATCCGGACATGGAAGTACACCGTTTTTTTGCTGAGGTGCACTCATAACTTTTTCATTCACCTTAAAATTCCTCAGGCAACCCTTGAAACTCTTCGTTGGTATATTCTGAAAGGATATTTCAAAACATAAATATTAAAGCATTATGGCAATTTTTTTTAGTAATACTACAAAAAATAATACTAAACATTAGTCCTGCTGGACTGTAGAAAGCCAAATAGTGCTAAAAGCACCTAAACCCCATCGCTGAGGCAGTGAAAAGGTATTCCAAAATTCTAAAATAGAGCTTGAAACATGAAAGTAACAGTTGACTTGGAGTTAATATAACTCCTGCTTGTAGAACAGATACTTCCCAATGATGTATCAAAAAAGACAATGCAACAGGAGTTGCGAAATCCCAAATACATCCTTCCCTTCCAAAGTGCCTGTTTAATCAAATCTGATTTTATAAAATGCCCTGGATCATTAATCATTTTTAAATAGGAAGCAAACATTTCAGAGTAAAATCTAGTTCTACATTCACAATTCCTTAATGAGAATGATTCCTTTGCTTCTCTGCAGATTATTGTTTAGTCCAATGAGGTAAATATTCTATGGGAAGATGGCATTTCTGGAATTACAAACATGACTTTGATCTTCTCTACTTTTAAAGAATGCAATTGAAAATAGTACATGGTTGTCATCAGTATCTCAGCCAGACATGATGAAAATATGGGCCCAGTTGAAGGCTGCATGAACAGGTGAGGAGAAATGAGGTAATGAACAACTGAAAACATCAGTCACAGATGGTGCTCACTCAGTGCTTGGAAATACCCACCCAAACCTTTTCAGCACGGACATCCTGCATATTAACACTTTCACATGTAGCAAGTGCAGCATGGGGAGTGTGTGTGTGTGTGTGTGTGTGTGTGAATTCCTTACCTTTTTTTTCAGTGATGGCAGCCCTCCCACGTAGATTGGTGACCTAATGTTGATGGCAGAATTTGCTGCTAATCTTCTCTGCTGGGCCCTTAGGCCATCGACAACAAGGCGGGCACTCTGCCCATCTATGCTGAAGACCACCTTTCCAGGGTGCAAACATAACAGAGTGAAAACCACAAAGGCCGATGAAACACACCGGAGATTATCTTTGTCTTAATTTTAAGACACCATATTGTTGAAATATATGATCTGAAAGTAACATGCTTGGACCATCAGTCTCAATAAGCTGTCTCATAACAGAGACCTGTCAATCACATGAACTTCCAGGGCATAGGAATTAACTTCAGATGACCAAAATAATATCTTAAAAATTCAATCGGCTGTGTCTGCTCAATGCTAGTTGTGCTTTTGCTACAGCTCCTGTGCCATTCTACTTACCGTGTGCCATTGCCCATCATTGTATTTAATACTGGTTTTGATTTTTACTTGTTTTCCTCCAGAGCCAAGTGAAAAGACAAAACGTCCTTTTGAAATGTGGAGAGATATATAAGAGTCCTCAGAGCTCTCCTCCATGAAAACTATTAATCCTCTTGATGATTGAGTCCGTACATCTACAGAAACATGTAACCTGCAGTGGAAAGTAAGCACATTCAAGTACAGGTCTGTTTTGTTAGTTGTTGCATCCTTTCTGTTCTCCAGAAAAATGTCAGTGAAACTCTATTTGTGAAATGCAGAAAGCCATTTGGGTGGAATCACGGCATTCCACGCTCCCTGCATTTCTGAATGTGAAACAAGCTTGACACATTCAGACTTAAGAATGGGCATCAATATGCAGTGTAACTGTCCACCACAACTGACTCAACCTACTCAGTTTAGGTATAATGTTAGCATAGAAGAAAAATGTCTGAACCTTTAGAACCATCCTTCTGTTATGACCTAAGACATAAGCAAGATGAAATTCCTAATGCTTTGCACCCAAAGATTCAAACAGCTTTGACAATTCAAGTATTAGGAGAAAAGAGAACATTTGTATTACCTGTCTGTAGATGACAGTGGAGAAAACATGTAGGCTATGAAACTTTTGGGGATGCTTCCAAGGAGATATGCTTCACTGCTGACATGTAACTGATTTGGTATAGTGTGGTTTTGTGCATTATCAGCATTCAAATAATCAAGGTATTTTTCATTCTGTGCATGTAAGATGGAATTGAAACATTTACTATGCATGTACATGAAAAAAAACACATTTCAATGCACATATTTAAGAGTTCCCACCTGAGGCAGTCAACAGCCTCCTCTAAATGACAGAGAAGCTGTTGTCATTCTGGACAGATGTGAGTTTAGCATGAAACCCCATCACAGTAAGAACTTGCTTCGGACGTGAGATGGAAGGAAAACAGTAACATCTGAATCTCAGTTCTACAAACTATGGCTGTGCAGACAAAGCCTTGGCATCAATACAGAGCGAAGATGACAGCAACAATAAGCATACCTTGAGCATCTTAGACTGGAGAGGATTTTTATATTCCTTCAGCAGCATTGATTGAAGGTTCTCGTATTTATGGCAAGCTCCAAGGGATACACCAGTCTTTTCAGTATAATTGATGAGATTTTGAACCTCGGGGAGCTGATATGTCCTGGAGTGATGAGAGCAGAAAGTGCTGTGACGCAGCATTCCTTTTGTTTAGTATAATCAGCAATAAGCTGTAAAACTGTGTTCTGTACCAAACAGATTTCTCAGTGACCTGATGTTAAAGTACCGACTTCTATTTTTCAATAAAAATGTAGGTTCAATGCTGTATAAAGTATTTGTATTTGTCCATTTCTTTTTGGCTATGAAAAAGTGCTGATGTTTTTATTCTTGTATTTTGTGCTATTTATTTAAAAAGCACAAACATATCTTGCCATTGAAGAGAGAGAAAAAAAATGACAGCACTTGATTGAATAAGATTTCTGAATCAGACTACAAAACTTTGCTGGTTAATTATGCATAACCAGTGTCAGATCAAGAAAAAATGGCAATATCAGGTCCTGTTCACACAATGATTCCCTCTCTCCTTATATAAGATGCTCTAATGAGGTTTGTTGAGGGGCAAAGCCATCACAACTTCATATGTAGCTTTAGTATTATAGCCAAATTACCAGAAAGACAGACAAAATCAATTCCCTATGTGATAAAGAATAATATCAAGCAATGCTGTAATTTTCTAAGTTGTACACAGCATCTCTAATCAGTAAATTACAAACCATTTTACAACTAGAAAGAGCAACAAAAGCTCCTTGCATCTGGTTGTTTATGAGAAGGGTGGTAGAGTTGGGAGTAGAACCTGAACTTCTTCAATGCAGGTCATACTCCATTCACTTAATCAGACTAGCTACAATATTAACTCTCCTTCAATTTGTGTGGAAATGTCAATCTGCTGAAAGGCAGGAAGGCTCTGCAGAGGAATCTGGACAGGCTGGATAGACAGGCCGAGACCAACAGTACAAGGCTAAACACCACCAGGTGCTGGGTCCTACACTTTGGCCACAATAACCCCATGTGGTGCTACAGGCTGGGGGCAGAGTGGTTGGAAAGCTGTGATCAGTGGAAAAGGACTTGGTGGTGCTGATTGACAGTGACTGAACATGAGCCAGCAGTGTGCCCAAGTGGCCAAGAAGGCCAATGGCATCTTGGCCTGTATCAGAAATGGTGTGGCCAGCAGGACTAGGGAAGTGATTGTCCCTCTGTACTCAGCATTGGTGAGGTCACACCTCAAGTACTGCATCCAATTCTGGGCCCCTCACTACAAGAAAGACCTTGAAGTGCTGGAGTGTGTCTGGAGAAGGGCAACAGTGCTGGTGAAGGGACTGGAGCACAAGTCCTATGAGGAGTAGCTGAGGGAGCTGAGGTTGTTTAACCTGGAGAAAAGGAGGCTTGGGAGTGACCTTAAAACTCTCAACTACCTGAAAGGAGGTTGCAGCACGGTGGGGGTCAGTCTCTTCTCCCAGGCAACTAGCGACAGGACAAGAGGACATAGCCTCAAGCTGCACAAGGAGAGGTTCAGGCTGGACATCAGAAAGGGTTGTTAAACATTGGAACAGGCTGCCCAGAGAGGAGATGGAGTCACCATCCCTGGAGGTGTTTAAGGAAAGACTGGACATAGCATTTAGTGCCATGGTCTAGATGACATGGTGGTGTTAGGTCATAGGTTGGACTTGATGATCTCAGAGGCCTTTTGCAAGTGAATTGACCTGTGATTCTGTGATTTTTGTACTAGAATTAATTTTCCAAATCTGTTTTCTGATGGGGAGGTTAATATATAGGCTAATTCATTGTCTTGCAGTGCTTTAAATGAAGACATAATTTGAGCAACCTGGTCTGGTGGAAGACGTCCCTGCCTGTTGCAGGTGGGAGTAGAACTACATGATCTTTAAAGGTCCCTTCCAATCCAAACCATTCTGTGATTCTATGACAATCAAATCAAAATACTTTTTTTTTTTTGTAAACTCTACACATGTACAAATACTCATCAAAACGTAGCTTACACAAAGTCCCACTGGGATATCATTTGTGGCTCAAGGGATGCTTTTCTCCTAGAAACATATTTATGCCTATTTTTTCTCCTAAATTTTGTCTGTAAGATGTCTCTAATAACCAGACAAACACGTGAATAAAAGAGACAACCTAAATCAGGCACATAATTTCTATACAAATGCTCTCACTTGTTTGTCTAACTGTTTTGGTTCTGTCAGTAGCTTTGCTCCCTTCATTTCCTGGCTCCCTGGGGAGCTATAACAATACAAATCTAGCAGATCTTTTTGGATGCCTTCTTGGAATATTTCCAATTCACTATGTAAAGCTCATTCTTTGGCTAACAGACTACTAAACAGGTATGATTCAGACTAAACTTCCCTCGCATCTGAACGGCAGATTTAATTACAACTCGATACCCTGTATAATAAACCTGAATGAAACAATATTTGAGGGCAACAACCTTATGCATTCATGAAGGCTTCACACATGTAAAAGAAAAGCATTTTAGCAAAAAAGTGATTGTAATACAATTAAAGAAAGAGAACAGGCCAAAATGCATGAAACAAAACTTTTTTTCTGGCCAAATACCTTCTTATAAAGATGTTTGAGATGCAGCCTTCAAAGTTACCTCCACCAAATATTATAGGTAGGTTTGATTCCTCTGAGTTTAATGTCCTGGGAAAGTCAACTGATACTGATGTTGACTGGTTATCAACCAGCAGATATAATCTGAAACAAAGTGAATAAAAATAAGCATGGAATATAAAGAAAAAGATGAAACTAAATTTTATATAGATATACATATACATATATATATATATATATATATAAAACCATTTGACAGATATGTTTTCTTGTTACATTGTAATTATGCTATAGCTTCATTATTTTCCAGGACTTTTTCAGTATATGCTCAATTGACTGCTGTGAAACTGCTTTGTCTTTCCATGCTAGATACCGAGCAAGAGTTGAAGCTTGTACTTCAGTCCTATGGTGAAATCTCGGTCCAATGGAAATTCGCAAAAAACCTCTCATTGACCTAGTACAGACAATATTAAGTTATAATCATCCAAACTTACAGCCATCCATTCAAAACTTTCCACTTCAGCTAACACTTAGGTCCTTTTATGGGTTCAACAGAAATCAGTATGATTTAGGAGCTTTTCAGTAAATTGTCTCTTCTGATGTCTAACAGATCGTTACTGAAAAAACAGACACAGTATTTGCTTCTGCCCTTGTCCTTTAACCATCTGTGTTGCAGAGACACATGTAAAGGTTGCAGTAAGGCGAAGAGCTCCAAAATCTCCAAAGCTCCAGCTAGACAAGTAGTCCAAACATCACAACCCATAAAAGACGTGCATAGTGGGGTAGAGCTGAAACATTACAGGTATCAATGTGCACATTCATAGACCTTCATTATTTGAGTATCCTTTGATAGCAGAGGCCATTTTTAGTCATTTATCCAAAGAATGAGTCCCAAAAACTTTGAATTGTCTTTCTCTGTCCACAACATCTGAAGAATCAGATAAATAACTGGACTCACTTGTTGCCTGTTTTTATTACTGTCACATAATGCATTGACCCATCTTCATATTTCTTTTCCAGTTTGATTTCCTTCTCTTGCATCTTTGCAGTTACAGATCCAGGTGTCAGAAAGACGCTAAGAATATCAGGCTATAAAAGAATTCCACAGAATGATCAGCTAAATGCAAGAGCCTTTAGTTCCTGCTACTGCCATTAATACAGTTCTCAGTGGTTGCTTGTTGGAAACAAATTTTTTTACCCTAAATCTGCATTTCTCAGTCATCTAGTACCAGATGTTACATCAAGTTCTGCACAGTTAGCATAGTTCCTGTTTTAAAATATCTGTGTGCTCTGAATACCAAACAATTCTGTAAAATACTAGTCTATTTTTGCAAAAAGCAGGAGTCAGTTTTGCACTTCTTATATACCTGGTGTGCTCTCACTTTTTAACTTCTACAGCCAGCAAGAATGGGGTTCTGCTTGAACCTCCCCACTTTCTGAGGGATCATAGTCAAAATCTACCCCTTTCCTCTGCACATCTGATCATGGTAGCACTTCTGTGTGGAGAGAATGCCAGTTTTTCCTGAGGAAATTTCCAGCCCACTCTATTAGGCAACAGTTTTCCTACTGGGATGGTGGTGTTAGGTGCATGAGCTACACTGCAGAAGGCTCAAGTTCAAAGCTCAGTTACTTATCAAACTGCATGTTGGCTGAGTGAAGAAGTTGCCAGGATGCTTTTCTCTGGCCTATGACATAAAAGATGCCATGCTTGAATGATGACTGTAATAGCCATTTCTTGCCTTAAAATACAGGAATCTACAGGAGACTTACTATGCAAACTGACATGACTCGTCCAGGGATAAAACCAATCACATATGCTAAGCTGAGCATGTTTCATACCTGTAGATTGTAATTCAAGAGTATTCCCGTTGAAGCCATGGTCTGAAAGCCAAAGCCAACTTGGAAATCCTTGGGAAATGGGAAACCTGCTGCACTCAGGCTCAGTGTTCCTTCCTTGGAGAAAGCTGCAGATCTGACAAGCTGAAAGTAAGATCATAATGCTTTCAGTGATTTCCTTTTTAATCAGAAGAAATGGCAACATAGGAGAACAGCTGCCCTACTCAACACAGTTGTGACTGACTCCAGCCAAAACCAAGCACAAGGCAAACCACAAGCATCACTGTTTCAGTACACAACAGACTGACTGAATTAACTAAGCATTAACTAAGAAACTCTAAAGGAAGGTGAGGCTTGCTGAGTATAATGAGCTGTTCATCTCTAGCTACTCTGGCTTTGAAAGTTTTCACATTTGGGGACATAAAAGTGAGTAGCTGGAGGATTGGTTTGTAACTATGGAGCTGTGCAGATGAGCTACATAACTGAAACTGTGTGAGTCATAGGACCTGGGCCTTTTTGAACAAAACACGTTTTAATACATGAGAAGTTATACAGAGAATGAAGATCAGGTTCTCTGCACAGGGAAATAGCCTGCAAAGAAATCACTCCATGAAACGTTTAGATGCCACAAAAGGAAAGCAAATGAGAACAAACGTTTAGTGCAATACCATAGTAAAAAGGGCAAATGAGATCATGCACCATGTAAGCAGCAGTGAGTAGAATCAGAAGGATAGTTTTTATCTCTCCATGCAGCATTGGCTAAGCCAGCACTGAAACGTCACATTGTCCCATCTCAAAAAGACAAAACTCAAGGGTGTACAGAAAACAATTACAAAACAATCAGATGAGTGGAGCAATAGCCTTATAATGATAGAATTCGGTGGTAGTAATCTGTTACGATCTTTCAAGACAAAAGGTTGAGAGGTCATTTAAATAGGACACATAAGCACCTTGGCAAGAGGAAAGATCTGGAGTAGTATTAACTAACTAAGTATGCTGGCCTAATTGATAACAGCATCTGGAAGCCAGCAAATTTACACAGTAAATAGGAATTCTTAATTGTACACAATATTAAATAAGAGGGTGGACTGTTTGCTGTAACAAGCTATCACAGTAGGGGTGGAGCCTTATTTCTTCCATATCTTCGTACCCAGCCCAGGTTCTTTTATTGCCATCATATGTTAACCAAATATGATTTTTGACCTAAGTAAAACATAATGGTCCAGGTTTTATAGACAAACCAAAGTCTGTGAACTCCAGCAGAAGTTTTTAAGGAACTCTGTTAGTTACCTTCCAGTCATCTGAACATTTCTTGCTGACACCAACAGTCTCATTAAAAACAACAGATGCAGTGGCTGGGTTTTTCACATTCTTCATGCAGCCCCGGAATGGAGGTGTGGATATATTAAAGCTGGTTTGAGGAAGTGGAAGGAAGAAAGAATTCAATAACCTGGTATTTCAAAGCACATACCACTACAGTAGCCTGTAAATGCTGAAAATATAAGAAACTGAAGAAGAGCACAAGAGCAATCTTGTGTACACATACTTCATGCTGATCCACCCCAATTTTCAGGATACACTTCAACAAAGACCTCACCATCAGCTAAAATCACAGATGATGATCATGTACTATACACTTGGGTTTTTATGGCACATAAGATAACCAATATAGAGTGTGAAAGAAATTGTTTAAGGAAAGAGTTTAGATGGAGTTTCCATACAAAGCCTGTGTATTACAGTCTTTTTATAGCTACTCACCGTTCCCGTACAGGAGGTGGGATTCCACCTAGGTAGTACTTAGTGATATCGAAGACACGTATGTTGGCTTTAATATCAGAGCCGAGGCGAACAATATTCTTATTTCGGACAAATAACAAACTAATCTGAAATACAGGAATAATGAGAATTCACCAGGCAGAAACAAAAATCATTTAGCAGATTAAAAGTACTCCCACAGAGCAGGACACAATGGTGGGTTTTTTTGTCTCCCTCCTCTTGTTTACTAGTACTTAAATGCAGGATAACTGCAGTAGTTGAAAGGTACTTTGCAAAGTCTGGGCATTTAGCCAAAGCAGATGCTTAAGGAAAATGTTGCACCATCCAAATATAGGGTGAGGTTTTATTTTCCTCAGAAAGATTGCCCTAAAAATACACCTCACCTAAGATTCAGATATTGCCTTCTATTTGCACCAGAAGATTCAGAAGCTACTGCCTATTACAAAGACTAAGTCAGTCAGCTGGCTGAAGGTAACTTGACCAGTAGGGCATAAAGATTCCTTCAACCCTGAGACTTACACCATTTAGTTAGAAATTTATTAAGGGGAAAAGGGAGAATGAATCAATATGAAAATCAAAAGGTTTTAACAATGTCTTTACAATTTCACTCTGGCAGCACTACAAAAATAGCTGGACTGAAGCTAAGTAGACAAGCAATAACTAAAAAACTACAAAAAAGTAACCTCTATAAAGATCAGCCTGCTCTGATGAAATAAACCCTTAGGTGATGAAAACACCAAGTATTAAACTAATGTCAATAATTTCAATGTACAGAGCTCTTTAAAGCATTGATCCGACAAAAGGTTTTTTTGGTGTTTTTTCTGTTATAACTGAACTTATTTTTAGTAAAGCACAACAGTAGAAAGATTAATTTTTACATGACCAAACTAATTGCCAGTGACTTGATCTCCGCACACAAAAGGAAAAGTCCACAACTAAACTTTACAACAGGATATTTAGTTTCAGCTAATGTGCATTTTTACAAATAATGATCACTTGATTCTTTAAAATTACATACATGTCTATATGTTCCATCATTGACAGTTGCTTTGCCTTCCATTTCTTTTGGAGGTTCAGAGTCAACTTTGTATCTAAAAACTATATGGCCATTTTTAATGAGCACACTGATGAACTGATCCTGCAATAAAGAAAACACCAACACAATTAAACTGCCACAATTCCATATATATTTCACTGTCATGTAAATAATTTTAATGAAGCTATCTAATTTTTTCAAGATAGCTTTTTGAGGAAAGGATAACACAAAGCAGACCAAAACTTACACTAATCAACCATAATTACTTTAAACTATTATAAACAAATCTGGCATCAGCTCCAGGTGTTCTCCATTCCTCCTTTCTTGCCCCCAGTTCTGAATTCTCTGCATGGCCTAATGGAGGAGCTACTTGGAATGATTCATTTCTTAGCCTTGACAAAGTGACTATACAGCAGGCACTGTAGAATCACAGAATATCTCAAGTTGGTAGAGACCCATAAGGATCATAGAGTCAACGCCCTGTTCCTTGTACAACTACCTAAAACTAAACCATATGACACTAAACATACCTCAGAATCTACACATTTTCCAGACAAAAATAACACTTTTAAGCAATTTCCTTAACAGTTATTACTAAATCTAACGTGTTCTTGAATAGGCAAGATTTTGAGAGATGTTCTTTGATCACAAAACAGAGAGAAGCATTCCACAAATTACCATTTTTTCTGCAAAAAACACGATGCCTTCATCTGCAGTAGTTGCAATTGTCTCCTCATATCGTACTGAGCCTGCAGGTTTTTCTTGCAGTACGACACTGGCATACCCAGTGCCCTCAAAATAGCTTTGGTCAGTCTCTTCTTTATACCTGTAACAATTCAATGTCAGGTGTGAATATATGAAAGCAAAAACTACTACCATATGGACTTACTGCCATTATAATTTTAAAAAAGCTTAAGGCCCAAATTCAGATCTAAGCCAAGCAGAGAGAAAACCTTCCACTGGCTTCTATGAGATTCACATATGGTCTTTAGAGAGGAAATCACTAGTGACCTCCTTCTTTGAATTTAATGTCATATTTACTTTATAAAGGAGCTGAGTACATCAGTCCACAAATTGTGTCTGGATTTTATAACATTTAAATCTAAACAGACTGAGATTGGCACAGATGTGAATCATGCCATCCCTGAGGATCTTTTCTAAGGAATGTAATAAGGACCAAGAGTTAGGAAAAAACCACTGGTTTAGCTACAGTGGTTGTTCTCCTGGATATGAAAAGGCAAGAACTGTGAAACGCTTCTGTGTTTATATCATACCTTCTGCAGGGGGTTGCTATAGTGGTATTGAGATTAAATGTCCTCTTGAAGTTGTAAAGGCTGATGATATGCTCATTTAGGCTGTCTAATTCAATGCAACCTTCATAACGAGGGTAGTCGAGACTACGTGGAAGCTGCAAGAGTCATCAAAGCACATTCCATCAACATCAGCTGACAAAAATTTTACATTCATATCTAACTGCCAAGACTTACTGCAAATATTATTAAGACACAGAATAAGACATTAAAAATATATATTAAAATATTATATCCTTGTGTATAATATCCAAACCATCTGATTCCAGCCCAGGAGTGCTGCAGCACAGTTTCAAGTGGAGTCACATGGGTGGACTGGGAACAATACTTAGCAGGGCTGGACTGCTTTCATGCTGTCCTCAGCAGGTGAAATATCATGCTCCCTTCTTTGAGTTTTAGAATACTACAAGCCGGGCAGCTTCTGTAGGAAGTAACATCTCCTTGCATCCCATCTATTTCTACTGACAGGGATAAACTTTTACACATACTTTGAAAGACTGCTAATTCCTGTCCTGTAAGAACAACAGGATGATTAACATGAAATCTCTTTAAAACACTAAGAAAGTCTTTGTACCCTAAAATCTGGTGGGTATCCTCCAACATAAAAGACAACAGTACTGGGATCAAGATTTAGGAGAGTGTCATTGCTGCTCTTGCCTGTACTCATCAGGCTTTCACTCTTTGCAGAAATAGATGTTGCTTCTTTGATGTACTTCAGCTTTGCATACTGGTAAATCCTAAAACCAAAACAGACAGGCAAAATATCACGTCACACTAATAATGTTCATAACAGGTTTTGGAGAAAATTGTTGCGCATTGTGGATTTTATACCTTTCAAACTTAACTTGATCCAAAACAGCTTCCTCAGTTTGGCCTTGAGTCACCAATGACTTCACTCTTATTTCTTCATCACCACTTCCCAGGTTATAGACACAAGTAAGGTGACCATCTTTCACAGCCATACCAATATAGTCCTTGGAAGCCTAAAAATAGCAAAGCAAATAATAATTAATAATTGATTAATGTTAATGAAGGTAAAACACAGCAGCACTTCCTCAGAGACATCGTACTGTGCATGAGTCACAAGAAATCCACCTACCTAATGATGAAAATTCAGTTTATCAGTTCTGGGAAGAAAAATTTCAAATCTCACGTATTGCACTGATTAAATTAATATAGTTATAAGTTAGTTGAAAAGTCATGTGTGGCTTTTATTTTTTTAACAATAGTAGCTCAAATACTTTTCACATTTGTAGCATTCCCCAGCTAAAGCCACGAAATCATGATACCTTTACTGAAAATTGGACTAAACATCTGTGAAATAAAAAACAATGTTCAGAACAACACTCAGAGAAGGACAATTGTGCCTACTGAGGTGACTGTGAGCGGTACTTTACAAAAAAATTCACATTTTATTTCTTCAACATACCGCATTTCAGAAGTGACAATTAAAATGCTGTCAATGAGTATCATGGCCAGTTATTCAGGGGATAAAAAGGTGAAACCCAGTGTAGAACAACTACCTTCAAACAGCTTTCTGTGTATGCACAAGACTCACTACAGACACAGGTAACAAGACTTAAAAATGTAGTTAGGAGCCAAATGCAGGAAATTTTTTAAATGTTTGATGGTGCTTGAGCAAGGCTGAATGCAAAAGCAGGTCTGCATCATCCCACATATTCAGAAGAGAAAGAAATTAAAGAACCGAGGGACTGAATTTTAAAACTGAAGTGACCTTTTTTCATTAACCAACAGTGAAACTCACAGTGACTTATACTGTGAAAAGAGTCAAAGTTCTGAGGCAGGAGTTGGCCTGAGTTTGCACTGACTGCTGCAGAAACTGTCAGTTCTGACAAGACTGTGTGATGGTATCCATGATGGAAAAGTAAATTCCAAAGGAACAAAACAGGAAACCATCAAAGTGCAAAGCAGTCAGCCACCTGACAAGTTACTTTGGCAGTGAAGGAATGAACTAAACACTTCTGCTGCCACACAACAGCAATAGGCCAACATTAGCTACAAACTTAAGTCAAAATAGGTGATTTCCCATCCGTTTCTCAAAGCATGTTGTCTGATTAAATATCAAAATATACCTACATCTTTATTACCCAGGTACAGTACAAACTTATTTGATATTCTCTGGGAGTCCTCAGGTATTTGGAGGAATAAAGAAAGTGAAGTATAGCCTTTCAGATCTTCAAGGTTGCTCGGAGGTCGAACCTCTACACCAGAGTTGCCATCGAACTTCATAGGAATAGCAACCTGGTGAGAAAAACATAATTCAGTACATTATAATAATCTATTAGTACTATTCTTACTTCACTGTTCTGCTTAATTGCAAAGTAACCTGTTACACATCCTAGACATGTTACAGCCATCAATTACTACAGTTTTGGACTCTGATCCTACCAAACAATTATGAAATAGACTGGATAATACAGTAGTCTGCATTATCAATACTTATCACTTAGCACTTTTTATTCCAGACATCAATCAATCCTTACAGTGCCTCTGTCAAGTAACTGTTACCCTCAGTACACAGACAGAGAAGGATATGCCCTGCAGCTCCAAAGAGCAAGCCTATGAATTATTTAGATGTGTATATACAGATCCTGATGCTTCACTTAGCTGGACCTGACTGTCTGCTGGGAATTATAACAAAATTCTGATATTATAAAGACACATCCTACTACAGCTGTTTACACCATGATCACAGATTCCTCATTCATTTTAACTGTTGCTTATTTGTGATGACCTCAGGGATGTTTCTTAGGGACCTGAGACCATGCTATCCCTTCAGCAATTACAGCAGTTGCTTAAATGGACAAAGGGCAGTATAATATGAGGATGCCAGTAGTCAACTTCTAACATCTTGGGGCACATGGAGAAATGAGACCACAGGGCTACACAACCTTGTTGTCAGTGTCAACATTCAGTTGGCCACGTGTGGGTGGAGAGCCCTGCCTCTAAGCTACAGAGCCAACTCTATCCCTGCTGCCAAAACCATCACAATGTACCTTGGAAGGCAAGAGGCTGTTGTACAAATAAGCATTACAGACATGCCCTGGGAACAAAAAAAAACCTACAGGAGAAAGATGTAGCAGTATGCTACTGCATCCACTCATTTTTATGTACAATTTATTATGCTTCCCATCAGCACAGTTACTTTAATTGCTAGGTGGTAATGTGGAATTAAACTTATGTCTGGTCTTTCACACACACTTTAACAAAATGACCTAGAAAGAGGAACAAAAGTACTGTTGTGTGTCCAAACCACTAAGGTCAAGCATGATTGCATTACTCAGGACAGACCTTATTTGCAGCATCTCTTGCCTGCTGAATCAGCTCTCTTATGCGATGTATGTTCTCAGAGATGTTGCTTATTGGCATCAGCTGTTGGTTAATACTCTTGATCTTGTTAAACAGAGCTGGAAGTTGTGCAGACAAATTTGTTACTGCAATGAAAGAAAAAAAAGCCATTGATATTAGAAAAAGAGGAGAAAACAAGATGCAAAAATAAGGTATCATTACACTGTTATCAGAAAAGAACTTGGCAGGGCGATGACAGAACTCCTTTCACTAGTCCTACAGTATTAGGAAGCTCTCACTAAAACTAGCAGTTTATACAGAGTTAATTGTACTCCTGAAATTTGTAGCCAAAGGTATTTGCAGAAGCAGTCAGGATCAGCACTTCCAAAAATGTCTTAAAGGTCCAGAAAAAAAAAGTTTTAATAGAACAGAGATGTGGTCTCTAACATTATTATCCAGTGACTGTGGATGCTAGGGGAGGATGAGGATAGCAGGCAGGGGTCCAGCTTATGTACATTCCCTGGGTAGCATATCCTGCTGCCATTGTCAGAGAGTGAATACTGGGGTAGACAGACTGAGCAGGGCATGTCTTATATTCTTGTGTCAGGGCTGCTAGTCAGCATAATTTAGTAGTGAGCCTTATAGCATCTGGGCAGGTTTATTTCAGGAGAAAAGGAAATACTAGGAGAATTTCAACTTTCATTGAAACAGGAAAAGATTTTTCATCTCCTGTGACTGAAAAAAAAAAAAAGCCTGAAAGTATTAGTACACTGTAACCCTATAATGCAGACGGCAAATAAATTTTTTTTGCAAATATGACTTCTAAGCTGGTCTTCTAACTGCAGGGATGGCTTACAACTCTGCAATAACATGCCAGGCTAGCTCTCATATTTATCTTACTTAAAATGTTTTCCTCTCACTTGACTTTATCAAATAAAGCTGAAGAAAAGATGAAAAACAAAGTCGTTTGGGATTGTGATTGCCCCTTATTTTGTATTTAGCACAGGCTCTATGCAATTCATTTCACTTAATTTCACATAACAGCCATCTAGCCTAAGCTAATTCTCTAGGTCCCTTCTATAGTCAGTGTAGTAGAAAATCACAGGACCACAGAGTAGCTGAGGTTGAATGGGACCTCTGGAGGTTATCTTGTCCAACCCGTGTTCAAGAAGAGCCACAAGTTAGTAGCCCAGAATCATGTCTAGATAGCTTTTGAATATTCCCCGGGATGGAAATTCCACAGCCTCTCTGGGGAACCTGTGCCAGTGCTTCAGCCATGCTCATAGTGAAAGAAGTGTTTTGTGATGTTCAGAGGGAACCTCCCATGTTTTACCCAAAGGGCACATTGCTGGCTCATCTTCAACTTGGTGCACACCAGAACCCCCGGGTCCTTTTCTATAAAGCTTCTTTCAAGCTTGGCCACCTGCTCAACATACACTGGTTCATGGGGTTATTTTTCTTCAGGTGCAAGACTTCTACTTGTTGAACTTTATGAGGTTCCTGTCAGTCCATTTCCACAGCCTGTTGAAGCTAGTTTGAATGGCAGCACGACCCTCTGGTGTATCAGCCACACCTTCCAATTCTGTGACATGCAGCAAACTTGCTGAGGGTACACTCTGCCCCAACATCCAGATCATTATTGAAGATGTTAAACAGGATCGGACCCTGTACTGAACCCTGCGCTACCCTGCTAGCCACTGGCCTCCAAGTCTTCAGAAACCAGTCATGGTGCCAGCTTTTAACATTTACCACAGGATGGCCTGAGTCACCTTCTGCTGTGCCTGTCCCTTTCTACTGGCAAAAAAGGAAGCTCAGAATACTACCTTAGGCTATGTGACTAACTTTTGAATGACTAAAACCTCTGCTGCAAAACTGACCATGTTCAGCTATTAGTGATTTGGCAGGTCCCACATAGCACCTGCAATACCTGAATTGTTTGCCTCTATCAGTGCTTTCCTGAACCCAGCAGTCTGAGCGCCTCCGTAAGTACTCTTAATTTTTTCCACATCTGTTTGAATTGGAAGAAGTTCATCCAACACATTAGCTGTGGTATTCTTAGCACTTTCTACCACATTTTTTGCACTGGTGATGATGCTGGTGACGTCATCTGAAAAACACAGAAATGCATGTGCAGATTCTTATTGCAATAAATGGCAGCAGAACAGAAGTGATCACTAAGTAACTAACCTCTGTTTATCCCTCTGAGATTATTCTGAACAGTGGAA